AATCTTTCTCATGCGATCGATGTTAGGATCAAGGTTTTTCACCTCAAGTAACAGTTGGTCCTTTCGAACCTATCTGATTTTATAAATTCTGTTTTTTAAACATCGACACCAATTACTTAAATAGATTGTCGAGATATGTTCAAGTAGGTGTTGAATTAGCATCTTGCAGCTTGATCTACATACGTGCTGGTGTTCTTTGCAAGCAAACTAGGCGACAACCCGCATATATTTTCTAGCATACCTGGACCGAATAAGAAACGGAATATCAGTAGCTTGTGCTTGATTTTTCCCGGATGTGCTGAGGCTCTTTTTTGGAACTCCAACCGATAACGCCTACCACGTAATCACCTTTAGGGTCGTCTCTTATGAAACTGCATAAATTATCCTGGCTGGCCAGCTTTCCGGAAGTTATTGAATCAAGCTTAACTAAAAGCGAGTAACGGAAAATTTCAATTCCCAAATCAACGTGATTCTGCATTTGATCATATCTATAATTATCACATTTACAATTTTATACATATGGATATGACTATGTGTACGAGTACTATGCAGTTGTGTATTTGTCGGGAAGTTTTGAACACTCCGCGACTTGCGCCTGTTCTTACATTCAGTTCACAGAAAGATTTCACAGTAAATCCAAACACGATCACATTAAGCATCAATCGACAAAGGCGGCCTAATCGCAGGGAAAATTTGGTCTAAATTTGCCCCTATCGGTGCTGTTCCCAAGATTAATGCCGCATTTCCTCGTTGGATTTCGATGCTTATTCGCTGGCGGAGATATTCCGTGGCTCGTTTTTCGCCGGTTTCCTGCCGTATCATCTGGCCGAATTCCATTATCGGGCGGGCAGCATCCGGTCTGGGCGGTCCGAGCGTCTCAAACCAAGAGCACGAAACACGTAGTCCTGACCGATATTTCTCGATCTTGTACTGCTCGTCCTGTGCTGCTGCTGCTCCCGCTCTTGCGGATGTCGCTATGATGTGCGAAATAGCCATTGTGTTGACGCAAGTAGCGTCCCAGGCCAGCATCTGTCCTGTCTCCCATGGTGTCAAGGTAACGCCATCGGGCGCTTGCTGTCTTTTGGGAAGATAGTTCAGATACCTTGTGGTTTTAATTCGCTTTCGAAGCCGGCTGATGCGAGGCTGCCCTTTACAATGGCGTTCAGGCACTTGTGCGTAGGATTCGGCCGCGGCTTTTCTTGCAGCTCAAGCCATGGTAGCCACGGGCATCCGCCCACTCGCCGCAAACACAGCGGTGTGGGGTGGTTACCGTTGCTCCAAGGCGTAAACCGACGGCGATTGGTACCGCAGAGTCCGTAAGGAGGTTGTCAAGAGAGGCAGCCGGAAGAGCTCCCAGCCATGCTCCAGTGCTCCGCTATCATTCGTGCTCACACCTCGCAACCGAGCCTGTTCGGAGATATCAGTACCGTCTGACGTTCGTAACCGTTCGGCGGTGTTATGAATTATGGGATGGTCCCATACTTTCTGGACTGGTCGCGCGTCTACGGGTGAGAGGTCATGTTCGGTTATCTGTTGCCATTCTGCAGCAGAATCACGACAGTAGAAGTCCGGTAGGAACTCGATAATTTCCGATACTAGTGTAGCAACCGAGTAAGCCGAGGCCAGAAAGGCCGGGAGGGCAAGCTTCTCGACGCTCCGAATTCCGAGACCGCCTTCTACGATTGGGAGAGACGCCTACATCCACATTTCATCAGTAATGTTGACGTTGGTGATGGAGGTTAAACAATGACGTATCATGTCATCAAACTGGCTCAATAGCGCCTTTTGTTGGTAACATCGGCTGGCGCGCAGTTTGTAGCTCAACCTGATTGCGCCCATACTGCACCTCAACAAGAACAGGGCTTGGTGGGCCGGTATTAACTTCAAAACATCCGGGCAATTACCTCCGTAGCACTGATGAGTGCACCCGCAACCGCATCGTCATGGACTGGTGCACCGAAATAATGTAAATCTTTCGGCCCGCGCTCAAGCTCGGACTTGGACTACTAAAACTTGGACTTGGACTTCACTTGGACTCTAAAACTCGGACTCCGCTTGGACTCTAAAACTTGGACTTCACTTGGACTCTCAAACTCGGACTCTATGACTTAGACTTGGATATAGGTGTTTCTCATGTCTTCTTACGTTTCTTCATGTTTTCTCAGGTTTCTTAGGTTTCTGAGGCTTCTTCGGTTTTCTTAGGTTTCTTAGGTTTGTTGGGTGTTCTTAGGTTTCTGAGGTTACTAACATTTTTTAGGTAATCTAGGTATTCTTTGGTATTCTGAGAAAGCTAACAAACCTAAGAATCCTAAGAAATTTAAGAAACCTAAGAAACCTAAGAACACCAAAGAAACCTAAGAATAACCTAAGAAACTTAAGAAACTTAAGAAACCTAAGAAAAAATGAAGAAACGTAAGAAGACATAAGAAACGCCTAATTCCCAGTCCAAGTCTTAAAGTCCAAGTTTTAGAGTCCAAGTGAAGTCCAAGTTTTAGAGTCCAAGTGAAGTCCAAGTTTTAGAGTCCAAGTGAAGTCCAAGTCCAAGTTTTAATAGTCCGAGTCCAAGTCCGAGTTTGAGCATGGGCCAAATCTTTCAGCTGGAGACATTGCAGGTCTGGGTAACGGTTTGGCGTTCTTCTTCGGAGCCTCCGATTACCACTAGCTCACATTTTGCTATATTCAGCACAAGTCCGCGTTCTCGTAGCGCCTCTTGGAGTGAGCATAATCATCGAAAACATCTTCAGGGTCTCCGCCAAGCGCATCGTCGTACATGAAGGTTTCTTTTAGTTTAGACTTTAGGCGCTTGTGTGGTCCGATAGTTGTCAGGTATTAGAGTAGCGGGCCGCGAACGAGTAGCAAAAGTTTTTTAGCGACGGAAAGCGTACCATTAACCAATCGTACGAAGCGGTCAGTTTCATAGTAAATAACCATATGACAAAAACGATATAACTAAAGCTCGAATACAAAAAATAATTAATAGTAATATCAATAAAAAACAACAACGTTGATGATAATAACAACTGTATTCAAATGCCCTAATTTCTAAAATTTTACCTAATTCTAGCTTTTGATTTTTAGATAAATTATAACGTCTACGAACCAAGGGATGCGTTTAGTTACGTGCACACTACATACATAGACAATGTATACGCACGTAGTCCCTACCTTAGAGATAAGTAGAGTGTTATTTTTGCTTTTAAGTTTTAGTCAATTTTTACTTTTATTTAAGTTTTACTTTTTTCGGGGGGAATCAGTATTAAAGAAGGGTGGGTGAATTCCCCGTCCAGTGAAATGGCATTTCACTCATCACTTCTTATATACGTAAATGTCGCGTTTTCTTTGTTTATGCAGAAATGCAGAAGTCTCAAATTGGATGTTGCTGTTCCGTGTTTCTGTTATAATGCAGCACTTTCCATATAAAGGACGATGTACTGTGTTCTTGTTTAAATATAACAGCCACCAGAATAATTATGTATAAAAAGTTGCTGTTTCAGTCTCTTCAGAAATGCGAGAACAATAACAAGTGCCGTATAAAGTACAGATACAACAGGCGCCGCCATACATGTAGTAAATGTAGTGTTTCCATTAGAAAGTTACAACTGCTAACATAATGCGCTGTTTCCGTTGTTCAGTAAAAGTACGATAAAATACAGATTGTTGCTGTATCTGTTTTTCTTTTTAGTACAAAAAAATTGTTAAGATGCATGAAACAGCGTACCGATCATGTCAAATCTAATGGCTAGCCAGTGCTTCAGCTATCCCAATGGCATTCGACAAACATTGTATCTGTAGCCGGCACACGTTTGTTTAAAATTGCAAAGTGCAGTACCTGTACCTGTATTTGCTGTCTAGTCTAGGGTTCAAGATTAAACGAGGCACTGTGATATCGGCCGAACCATCATGGTTGTGTAATTACTTACTGGCATTCTGCCACTAATTTCATAGTACAAAAATTTGGAACTCGATTTAAAGTGAAAACTAGTATAAGGTGTTGTGAGATAAGGTGGCAAATAGGCGGCCCGGTTTCGGTTTATAGGAAATGACTCGGCAGTGTCAGAAGTCTCACTATGAACCGATCTTCGAATTTCTGATGTATCGTAAACGCGCATACACATTATGAAATTACTTTTTATACTGATCCATTGTTTTAATTTAGCATTTTTTATATTTTCAAATGAATTTTAGACATTTTAAAAATCGTTTTCAAATTTAAAAAACGGTGGCCCTGTGGTTCGGTTCTAAGAAAAATCTTCAAGTTTGGTGTGTTCATTTATGTGCAAAAACCGAATATAAAGCTCGTTTAAATAAAAAACGTTTCAAGTCATTTTTACCTATCTCAGTTTCCACCATGATCCGCCAACCGGATGTTGTGCGCACGGCGCACAAACGATTCTTTAGCCAGCATATGCTAATCTTTTAATTACTCCATGCCACAAAACAGCGCAAAAGGTGTTTTCAAGTGCACGAATTTTGGACTCATCGTGCTGAATTTTATAAGAATCCAGAATAAAATCGCTGGTGACCCAAAAGGTCATGGGTACTCCCCGTTTAAGAATTGTCAGATGTCTTCCAATAAAAATACGGGCTCGCTCCGCTCGTCCGCTTGATTATTTTGTAAAAGCATGCTGCGCCTTCAGAACGTTTGCTGAATACATTGTGCATGTCTGAGGTATGGACGAAAGTTTCGAGGTTGCACGAGACGACTCTGCCATCCGCCAAACCGTATTGGCTGCAAAATTCTTGGTATGCTGCCAGTTGCTACAATAATTAATTTTTTCGGTTACATGAAATCGATTGCCACGATTTTCATTTTGTAAGAATATGCCGCACCTTCCTAAACGTCGTTAAAAATATTGGGCAAATTAGCAAACAGATGGGATCTGAATGATCTGATTGTGAGTCGCGGGCTTATGCAACACCATAATGTTTACAGTACCGGCGCTTAAATAATCAGATAATACGCGGATTAGCTAGTGTAGACAGAAAACTGGGAACAGCAAATACGCTGCAGGCGGTTTAATTGTAGCTGAAATACTTAAATAACCATGAAAGCATACTAAGCATCTCTCATTGCACCTGCGACCGTGAATTTTTACCTCGTCTTATAAAATGCACCTCTGCATCACGAAGCTGCCAATAAACTATTTGAGGATCAAAATGAATTTCGCAGGTGTTATTGCGTTAACAGCGTGTGCGCTGTTCTCGTGTGCGGTAGCTGCGAGAACATGCGAACAGCAGAAGGCGCAATGCGCTGAGCTACGCCGCGGCGAAGACGGATTTCACGAGCGGATGCTGCCACCGAAAAACAGTCCACTCTGGCCTGCATCCGCGGCGGATCTGCAAAAATATAAAACGTTTGCTGATCAGTATTGTCGGTAAGTATACAAGTGCATATAAGGAGAAGAATTCCATTATGTTTGTCACAACCCGGCGGATGTATGATGTATGACCTTGCGGCAAAATACGTGCTGAATTCCAGTGCGTTTAATTTAATAACTGCCGCGCTCTGCCGTAGCGTCCTACTCCCGCCGGGTGACGGTACCATGTGCGGGGAATAAGTGGCAATGCTGTTGCACGCCCTTTTTCTTCCTAGTAGCAGAATATGGTACTGTGGGCCGCGCAATATATCTTTTTACCGCTGCATGCGTTTATATAGGTGGAGTACCGACCTGGGCAACTGCCGAAAATCCTTGTATACAAGTTGTCCCGCTGTCTACAAGGATGACGTGCCATCCTCGGGTGGATGGTACGGTGCTGACTATTCTCTTGCCTTTGGTGGACTGTGTAATACCACGGTGGGTCCGGTGAAATTCTTCCGCGCTCTCAACCATTGTGCCAAAAAGGATGCCGAAAACTTCCACTTCTGCTGTGATCTAGAAGCCTTTGCCGATAACGGACAGAACGAAAATGCGGCGGCTGGCCATAAAAATTTTTGCGAGTAGGTTAGCTACAGAATGACGTCTAGATACTGTTTGCAAAATACATTCATTAAGAATTATTCATATGTTTTTACAAGCTTTTCACCGTATAAGAAATATTCAAGTTACTTTTCTTGATAAAGGCGGATAACGAGATGGCAGAACGTAAGCCACATGTAGTTTCTGTGCATTCCGCTGCGTGTAGAAAAACTGTCGTTGCTTTCCGCGTATTACGTAATTAGACGGCTCCGACACTCGTTAGTGAATGCCTAACTCTCGCAATATTGTTCCGTTTTGTGTTTTCTAGCAAATTACAAACGAAGCTGCGCCTTTTCGATGGCAACGTAGGCCTGGTTGTGAGATCCAAATGCGGAGAAGACGCTATACAGGCATTAAAGGACGGATACCAGCAGATGCGCACCGCCCACTGTTCCAAGTAACCAAGCCACCAAGGCATTCGTTTCACCATCTGGATTTTGTATCTCCCTTGTAGTGGACGATAATTCCGGCTTAATCTACTGATAGTTGTTAAGCTTCGAATTACCTGGATATTCTGATGCGTTAGTTGAGATTTTTTGCAATAACTCTGAGTCCGAATATCCAAATACAAATACCTAACTCTTCAACAAGGCGATGAAATTATAAACATGCACTTGAACCGGAAGTCCTAAATTTCATTGTGTAAAATGTTTAGGAACAAAGGGAAATCCGCTTAATTCGAAACTGAGAACGGTATTATTTCTTGCAGCTCGGCTGTATTATTTATTGTAATCATAATATTGGATCATAATACTGCAAGCATCTTGAAGCTGCCGGCGCAAGTTGGAACATCACGTGCAGCTGGCAAGCAGCAGGCGGACGCGCGTACAAAAGTGCGCACAGCGGCCAAGGTCAAATCGCCGGCAGAATTTTCTGCCGCTGAATTTTTGTGTGGTCAAAACGCCGGCAGAAATTTTTGAATTTTTTCAAATTTAAGCATAAACTGTATAGTCATAATTAATTAAAAATACTTCTGTTTGTACACGGTGTTTAAACCGTGTATTACATAGATTCGGGCACTCTACACTGGCATAGTTATGCAAGTACAAATAGCTGTATCGGCATGCTTGTAGGATTACGTAGACTGCTTCCACATAACGCCCCGAAGAGTACGAGTATAACAAAACCGTCCAAAAGTAACAAACAAGGTGCTAAACAATACCATTATCGCAATAACACCGAAGAGTGATCTGGTCTGATTACTTTGAAGCCTTACCTGAGAAGACAAACTTCATCGAAGACTGTCCAGATTCATCCGCGACGGATGGCCAAGCGCTGCAGGCGACCGACAGAAGGCCTACCAAGCGACTGAAGCGGGAGTTGGTATTGGTCAACGGATGCATTTGTTGGGAAAAGCGAACAGTCATCCCGGAAAACCACCGTCCCGCCCTCCTAGCACATTTGCATGACGCGCGCATGGGCGTCAGCAAAATGAAAGCGGAAGCGCGCGGATGCTGCTGCATGGTGGCCACTGCTGGATAAAGATATCGAGCGACTGGCGGCCGGTTGCCGCATATACTCAGAATGCGCCAAGGAGACTGCGAAAGTTCCATTTTCCCAGTGGGCCGTGCCGGAAGCACCATGGAAGCGTGTTCATATGGACTTCACGGGTCCGTATCAGGGAACGATGTTACTTATCATAGTGGACGCCCTGTCAAAGTGGCCAGAGGTCATCCCTAGGAAACACGCCACAACAGATGGGGTAGTGGAAGCGTTTCTGAATCTATTCAGTCGCTACGAGGACCACTGGGTGCTGTGAACACCCCCTTCACGACTGGGCTGCGATGAACAGCCGGCTGAATTTAAGCCGTTTGCATTTAGACTGTGACGACAGTAGCGTTGCGAGCTACGGCTAACCGGCTGTTCTTCGCAGCCCAATCGTGTAGGGGGTGTTCACAGAATCACAGCACCCAGTTGTCCTCGCATGTCATATGTTCCGAAATCGTCTCCGACAATGGGGCGCATGTAGCCGGCAGATATATCAACCAGTTGATTGTAGATAATCTACATGTTAGCCCGTCAGGGAAGTAGATTTTCGTCAATAGATCTGACGAACTGCATCAATAGGCCTGCCGACCTGAGCCTATGCTTTGTCTATGGGACCGTCAGTAGATCTGCCGAACCCGCACAACTGTGAAATATGATATCCTTGAGCTTGATGAGCGCATGGCGGCTTCATATTATACCTGCTGTACGTATCGCTTTCAGTTCAAATACGGTAATACTGGCGGATGCAGGCTTCTGGCAGCAACCATCGCAGATTGTAATTTAATTAGTATTTTTACTGGAATTGTGTCTAATTCTACGCGCAGGATTTTTGCTTAATTTCGGTACTTACATATTACATAGCGTATAAAAACAATGTCAACTGCAACACATTGCTTAATATTCAATACTTATTAGACAGCGCATGTGTCAAGTGTTGAACAATTAACTGAGTGATTTAATTTAAAGAATGATAAAACGTGCAATCCGCAGACGGGCGACTGCGCATTTACTTAACAATTTCGTTGAGGAAGACAGCAACGACAGCACTGCTGGCGGAGTGTTATACCTGTTAATGTTTTATGTTAAGCAAACACAAGCACCCGCTATGCATTTTTTGATAATTGAACCACAGATCAGACGAAATGCATCAATAGGTTTCACGGACCTACCCTATGCTTTGTCTATGAAAACGTCAATAGAGCTGCCGAAACGGCTTAACAATGAAACTTGATACCTTTGAAAACTCCATGCCGGCGTCAACAGTTCGGCCGAGCGGGAGCATTTAAGGTACAGCCGCACTAGCACATTGTGCCAGCGCTAGATAACCAGAGCCGGGCGCTATGTCTTGTCCCTTCGTGTTGATTTCATGGTTTTCATCCACTTTTTCTCAAAAGACCGGTGTATCTCTAAAGTGTGAACGCGGCTATTAGACATCTGGTATCATCGCGAAATGTGTTAATATCGTGGAAATATATTTCTACTAATTATTTCTACGTTTGCAAATGTTATGCTTGCATTAAAATTAACCGTGGAAGTTTAATCTGACCATTGTAGGCGTTGAGCTAATTAAAAAATAACTGCGTCGCTTCCTGAGCTTAATTAGTTTCCGCTTGATTTGTGCAATGAAATAATTTTCTCAAACTTGGCCTATGTGCTGAATAATACCGATTGTGTTAAATGGTAAATATTAAAAATTATTAGAAATAAAAAGTAGTAAAAAACAGAGACAAGTATAAAATTGCCAAAACTTGCGGCTATGACATTTGTCAGACGTCCGCGTTTATTATATTTTGAACTTTGAACAACGCTTTTTTGAGTGGAAAAAGTAGAGAAGAAATGGCACGGTCGTTTGTCTTCATATCGCCGATACAATGGGCCAACGCGGTGATATCTTTAAGGTACAGCTCGGCCAAACTGCTGATGCCGGCATTCAGATCAGTAAGGATATCCAGTTTCAATGTTATGCCGGTTTGGCAGATCTATTGACGCTTCTATAGACCAAGCATAGGCTCGGGTCGGCAGGTCTATCAATGCAGTTCGTCAAACCTGTTGACGGACATCCAGTCGCTTTTTGCCTCATGTTAAAAAGGTGACATTTCGAGCACAGCAGCAAATATAGCAATTAAGCCGTTCCAGTCCAAAGTGTACTTACATTGCGTTATTTTTTCTAAATTTATATAGTAGTAGTTTATTCGTGTGTTGCATGTACTGGATTGACGGTTATGTTTATGTAGGTTAGCACAGTAGCGTCCGGTCACTGCTTAAATCGTGCTCGATAATTTGGGCAGGAAATAAGTGTTGCTTCCCGTATTGTACGTTGAGGTATCCTTGCGAAACTTTCGTTGTGGAGTCTTAGAAAATAACCAACCCTTTCAGTGCTACCGCAGTTACTGCTCAATAGTTAGATCAAATTCGCAGTTCGGTTTAACTACTCGGGAGTTACAATGCGATTGCCTCACGGTGGGCTGATTTGCGAGTACATTTAATTCTATAATACGAGTATTCAGACTTCACTGTAATCAAAATAAAGTACTACAATTTTACATTAAACGTTCAACAGTTCTGACATAACTTTATTTTGGACGTTCGTAGAAGGTTGTAATTACAGTAAATACTAAATAGTGAATACCCTTTAATCGTGTTGTTTGTACGCCAACGTTGAAAAACAGACAGATGTTCCGATACTCGATATTAGCGGAATAATGCCGTTAGAACACAGTCAGAATTATTCTGGACTTCTGGTTATGACATTTCAGAGGACAGGCAGCAATGCGTTTTAAAATTATAGCTTTGTGCCCCACTCTTATTACTGAGAGAAAAATATTACTTCGATTTTGCGCTGATTGTCAGATATTTGCGCTCTGTATTCACTGCAAACAACTACAGGTGTGCTGATTTGAAATGTGAAGGCGCAACAGGAATAGCGAAATGCTATTTTTCGTCTAGCGCCGCGCCGGTACATAGCTGCATATGTTCAGGCTCGGCCGAGCTGTATTGTAGATGCCGGCATGCTGTGCAAGGATATCAAGTTTCACTGTTTTGCGGGTTCGGCAGATCTGTTGATGTTTCCATAGGCAACGCACAGGCTCGGGTCGGCAGGCCTATTGATGCAGTTCGTCAAATCTATTGACGAAAATCTACTTCCCTGACGGGCTAACATGTAGATTATCTACAATCAACTGGTTGATATATCTGCCGGCTACAGGCGCAGTTTACACTGGAACCGTTTGCCCAATTTGGTGCTCAGTTCGGAATCAAGCGCATACGGACGCCTCCGAGACATCCGCAGTCCCAGTCCAACGGACCGGCGGTCCAACGGAGAGGACGGAAAGTTACTTCCAGTTGCTCTGCGCCAGTTCCTAAGCCGCTGCCGGAGCGTCACATATGCGACGGCGGGCGTAACGCCGCCGTAACAGCTGAGCAATTCATCGGTCGGAAAATGCGGTTTACCATGGATTTGCTGGTGATCACAACGAGAGAGAGTAACCGCCAGCGGCATCAACGTAATTTTAACCAACACACCAAACCAAAGATTTTCCAAATGTTTTTGAGTGGGGCTTTCCCAGTGGGGGAGGTGTAATAGTGCATGACGTTTACATAGCAACCAATACAGCTGCAACTGTAAGATCGTGTAAACATGCAGGGTGCAACGTGGCGCGCCAAATATAGTAAGTATATTAATAATTTGTAATTTTGTACGATAAAATGGGACAGTGGATGCCCGGGAAGCGCGTTTCTATACCTCTTTGCAGCGCTTCTGTCCTTTGTAGTTTGTAATCGTTCTTTGTCCGCTTGCTTCTGCTCTGGAGATTAACCTGTCCCGGAGCAAGGGGAAGGATGTAGATAAGATTGGATATCATTAGGTCGTATTCGTCGTTACGAGTTTGTTTGTCATTACGAGTACCTGTAGTATTGTGAATTCACAAGCAGCGTTGTGCTGAAACGGTTCAATAATAATAAATACTGTACCCACCCACCATATCAGAAAAACTCCATTCCGTTACCTGTCATTTTCCACAAAGAAAATCATTTTCTACGATTTTATTAACGAAATGGCCATTTTTTTATTGAAAAATAAGGGTGGAATAATCAAAAAATGAATTTTCTAGACATTTTTCAAGGCTTCTAATCCAATGTTTTCATTTTTCAAAAACAAACCGGGCTTGGGAAAAACGGGGTTCGAAAGTAAAAGCTATGTTTTTTTGGAAAAATTCCTATAAAAATAATTTTAGGCGTAGATATGGATTAAAGGAAATGCCGATCGAATAAAAATATAAAATGCAATGAAAAGATTGTTTGAAAGATCGTTAACGCTACATCAGCAAAAACACTAATATTTCAATAGCAATTTCTTGGCTTATACGATAAATTAACTAAAACAGAAAGAATATTAAAAAATCGTTTAGGATTATTTTCTTATCCATAATCGTTTTTTATCCATAACCATTTTATAAAAAATCGTATAGGATTATTTTCTTATCCATTATTGTTTCATTTGCAAAATGACCCGAAACTGCTTGAATTTCAACAGGAACAGGAGAGCCATAACAATGGGAATTTTTCTTAGCAGAATATTGTGCAGAACATTTCAGAATTTGACATTTGTGCAGACAAGTTAATAAAAAAAACCGAAAAAATGCAGCTGCAAAATTCTCGTTAAACTGCCAGAATACAAGAAGAGGTCATGATCCTGTCAAATGTAGGAACCTGCAATCAACGATCAACTTGGCGATTATCCGTTCAGTCGCCGCGGAGCAGATTGAGCACATCGTCCGGATAGTCGTCCTCGTCGCCGTCCCCGGGTGGCCGGATGTTCTCCTGGGAGACCGCCTCGTCCCGTCCCTCGTCGTCGTCCGTGTCGCACAGGTCGATCAGCGGCGGTGTCGGCGCTTTCGGAGGGGGCGGCGGGGGCGTGGCGTCGATGTAGCGGTTGTCCAGTTCGCTGTTGATCACCTCAGATTTGCTGCGCTTCAGCACTGCTTTTCCCGCCCCGGTCGCCGGGCTGGCGTCGTCCTCGGGGCTCTTGCGCTTGCTGCAGCCGGGCGATGCTACCGGGATACCAGCAAATAAATTAGATCGAATTAATACGGATCTTTAAATAAATTATTACTAAGTTTTTCAAATTTGTTTCGATTTACTAACCTTTAAAATTATTTTTTAACATTTTTTTTTACCACGACCAAACGAACGAAAAGAGCCCTTTTAGTTCCTGCTTATTTTGTTCTCATCTTCTCTTATACGATTTCACTCATTCTGCTATTCCAGTGTAATTACCTGCTAACAGAAATCAGGCAGTATAATTACCTAACAATAATTTGCTTCGCTGTTTTTCCACTGATATTTCGTACTTATACATACTGCCATTCATTTCATTTTACACTAACGTATTTTCACCAATACTAATTTTCAGATAAATATACAACAACTCACATTTCATGTGAAAAATTAATAAGGCAGGTAATTATTTAATAAGCTTGTATCAGAAGTACAGCAGCGGTATTTATTTTAAATAGTTAAAAAAGACATTTTCCCAATAACTGTTGGATAAAATTGCTGTGACAGTAAGTAGCCATACCTGTGCCGGGTTCGCTGCGATGCAGACTGCCCTCGGGCTCCTCGGTGGTGCTGGACTGCGCGTCGATCCCGTCTTCCACCCGCTCATCCTTATCCACCTCCACGTCCACGTCGCTGCCGGCGCCGGCGTCCGCCGCTGCCTCTTCCTGTTCCGCCGCCGGCACCTCGTTGTCCTCCTCCTCAACGAGATCGTACTCGTCGTTGGAGAAGTCCGGTTTGTTGGCGCCCGGATCGGCCTCGTCGCGCTCCACCACCAGGCCCTCGGCGCGCAGCTTCGCCTTGTACTCCGCCAACCGGTCCAGGAAGCCGCTCCGGACCTGGTTGATCAACAGGTGCTGCTCCAGGTGGGAGTCGCGCGGCAGCTGCGGCTCACTGCAATCACAGCGTACAAGGGAACAATTTAGAAAAAGGAAAATTAAATTCAAGGAACATCAACATACATAATGAAATAAAAAAAAACGTAAATAACAAGATAAATACGAATAAATCAATAAACAATTAACAAAACAAATGAGCAAAAGATAGAATTTTAGCGCCTGGTTGATTTAGCTAAATAGGCGCAATAGGCGTGGTCCATTCAATTACTAAATCAACATGCGGTTTCAATAAGATAATTTACTGCAAAAAAACATAACTCAATTTTTTGCTGCTTTTTTCACTCAAAGACATAGATTTCAGAACGACCGTTCTGCGGAGAATTTGTAACAAATCACCAATAAAACTACCATAAAATTACTTTGTAACTACCAATAAAAACGCCCATTTTAAATTCTTTTCATTAATTTTGTCATTATTGTTGTCTTTATTTTTTCACATTATTTTTAGTCCACTGAAAACCGTAACGCAATTTCGGGACAACAGTCTGCCGGAACATTTTCAGAAACCTAACATAAAAAAAATTGAATATTTACGCTTTTATATATTTTTTTACCAAGTATTTTCTGTACATTACTGACTCGGAGCTGTAGGTGTATTTGGAGACGACGGTCCTGCGGAACCTCTTGGCGCGGTACTGCTTTACCGCGCAGTGAAAACGCGGAAACACGTCCTGGACGTCCAGCGGCCGGCGCGTCTCCTCGTGGCGCAGGCGCGGCTGCTTCTTCTCGGCGGCGATCTTCTGCATGATGGTGCGCACGTGCTCCACGCTGTAGCCCTTGCGGAAATCGGCCTTCTGGCCGGCGCGGTGGGCGACGGCCACCTGGTCGTTGTCGGCGAAGGACTTCTGCACCATGCGCGTCAGACACTGGTCCAGCCGGTGCACGCCGCTGCCTTTATAGACGAACGGCGGCATCTGGAAGCCCCGCGGCGCTCTCTCCCCGCTCTTCTCTTCTTTCTCCTTGTCCATTTCCGTCAGTTTGACGATCTCCTCCAGACAGGCGCCGCTGCGCTTCTTCCACTTGTCCTGCTCTATTTCATCAAGCTCAGTTCAATAATGGCAAGTCAATACTGCCGAGTATAAAAACACAGCCACAGGTAAAGGAATAAATAAGTACCTAATATAAATACTGTAATCAAAGGTAAATAAACACGGGAATAAAGGAAATAAATAAAATTAAATAATCCAGAAATCAAATCAAGTTACACAGGACCAAGACAAAACAAAATTGACAACCGAAGAATTCAAAATAAATAAAATTCAACCACAAAAGTAAATAAAGTTAAATCACAAACATAAAGAAAACGGCTAACAGAAATAAATAACATAACAACCAAAAATCGAATTAATCAAAAATTTCAAAACAAAAAACGAAATGAATTCAATTCAACACTCAAAAATGCAAAATCAAAGGAAATTAAATTCCAAAAATTCCAAGAACATAGTCTGTGGATGCCGTTACCATGGTGCGATGGCAGGCCGGCTCGTCGTTCATATCCATCTCCTCGCGCTCGAGCGCCATCACCTGTTTATCGCACTCCCGCGCCCACTCCACCAGCTTCCCCAGACGCAACTTGTCCGGGCCCTCGGCCATGGCGTCCATGAACTTCTCCACCTCGGCGTAGTCCTCCGGCTCGACCTCCTCCTCCTCGTACACCTCTTCCTCATCGTACGCGTCGCCCTCGTCCTCCTCCTCCGCCGTATCGTAGGGCACATCGTACTCCGCCGGGATGAGGGCGTCCAGGTCGCGGGTGTGCAGGTACCGCTGAAAGTAATCCTCCGTCATCTCGGAGGCCCGCGAGGAGGGCCGGTCGGCTACGGGGAGGCCCCCGGAGGTGCTGGGGATGGGGGCCGCCTCGGTGGTGTCATTCAGCGCGGCGGGGGTAGGGGCGCGGGCGGTTAGCCCGGCGGGCGCCCCTCGAGTAAAGCGTGGTCCGGGGGACGGGACCTGTCGGGGTTCCTGTGCGGGGGGTCCGTGCGGGGGCAGGGCGCTGCTGCGCTTGCCCATGACCTTGCGGCGCAGACAGGCCGGACCCGGGAGACAGGGCGGGAAGCTGCCGATGATCTGGATGTCGTCATCGTCGTCCATACTGGTCCGGGTGTTGGCGATGGCGGGGATGCTGATTCGGTTGCTGGAATTGTTTAGCTGCTTAACTGATTCAACTTGATTTAATTCTCTTCGACGTCTTCGTATTCGATCTGCTTTAGTAAACCGAGATATATGAATACCTTCAATTAAATTATTAAAAATAAATACCCTCAAACATAGAGACTCTATTAGCGAAAAGCCACTTTTTCTGTATGGCCTCAATCGTATCTCACATAGGCTTGTTTTGTAGAGAAAAAAATCTGAAACTTTTTAGTGTTTTTGAATAAATCGAAAGAAAAAGATTTCTATTCCAAAAGGAAGGAATGATGGGAATATACGTCCCACAATAGGGTCTACGAGGAACCGCATTTTTAGCCGTGCCAGCCCGAATATGAGCCGATCTCCACTGCATACTTAAAGCATGGGGCCAGCCACAGAAACTCGTGTGCGGTAGCCCTAATGTCTTAATCATCGCGACAGACGATTTTAGCTCATGTTCTGTGGCTTCCCAAAATTCTAAAAAGATGTAACAAGCTAGACAACTCAAAATTTTTGAAAGTATGTATCAAGTTTTATCAGTTTCAGTAAGGCAGACACGCTCAATGCAAGTTTATCAGTATGCCGTTTGCCAGGGAACCTAACGTACAAAACACCAGATTTCACAGTTCGCACTTATTTCAAGACCCGGAGTTTCCCGGGGAGATTTTCATCCCAAAACTGAATGAAATCGAAAGATAATGAAGTTTACAAACTTTTGGATTTGGTAAAGTTGTGGTAAATCGTCCTAGTTCAAAAGATAAATGCAACAGAAGAGCAACTTTTGTATAGTGCGACTGGGTCTACAACGTTTATAGCGGCTCAATGTAGTGGTACTCTGGATAAGCCATACACCATTCGATAGAGAATTAAATTCTCTTTCTGATTGGTGCGTTTTAAAATAAGACCAATTAGAAAGGCGTGGGGCAGGGCTACCACAAGCCGAGGCATGCATTTTCTCGGTACGAAGCACGGGATTCGAGCCGAAATAGTGCACAGTGTGGTGCATATACCTACGCTGTCGTAGAGTCAAACAGTCAAACTTTAAAAGAGATCAAATCCAACCTGCATGACAGCTAACCAAAAAATCAAATTAAGTAGAGAAGAAAAGAAATAAAAATAACACTTTATTAACCTAAGAGATACAATAAAGCAATCAATTAATTATCAACCCCAGAAATTCACAATAAATACAGTTAAACGAAGATACTGGGTATGTCACTTACAGGGATTAAATTTGTCCTGATTTGTGCTGTCTTCAACTGCAAGTACTCAACAGAAAATACACACTTACATGGTGACGTTAGACTTAGAATATGGGGTCTCCAGCGTCATCCTTGAAATTGAAGGGACTGCGCATCAAGGCTGAAGGCATGCGGCGCATCTGCAAGCAGCAAGCCCATCCATATCATAACAACATGAGATCGACGCTTATGTTGGCAAAAAAAAGACAGTACTTTGTGCGTTGGCTTTCGAGTTTCGATCTTTGCATTATTAGGGGAACAGAAAAATGAACCTAGTGAACAGTATTACAGTCACAGCTTGCCAAATACCTGCTTGTGCTGACAATAGCCTGGTGATGATCGTCATCCGCACTTGCCAACATCAGCCCGTTGCTGGCGTTGCAGATTCTTGCGCAATTCGGAACACAGAACAGTATCACAGCCAATTTCCCAATTTAATGGCGACTCTAAAATTAAAGCAGTGAAAGAAAGCACTATAGGTTGGAACTTGAAAGTTCTACGCTCTATGAAGAATTCCGGGAGGTCGAAGAACGATAAACTTTTGGCGCGACGACAGACCAGGTAGAAAGCAGACAACTCAACAGATGAGAAAAGGCAAAAGCGAAACAAGTCATTCATGAATTTCCGTAATTGACGATTCTCGCCAGGATGGCGCCCCGTGGCGGTTGAGAGCCGTACGCCCACGCTACGCCCAGAAGTCATCGTAGGCCATAGCAACACGTGCTTTTCCTGGCATTGTTTAAACAGCGCGAGTTCGCACACTATTCTGCTTACTAATGCGGCAATTACATAAAAAATAAAAGGACACTAAGCTCTACCAATTGGGCGACACATGCCTGATAAAAAGTGAATGTGCCCCGTAAATTGTGCGGCGATGCCGATGGCCGTGGTATATCAGAGCGCCTCACGTGCGACTGTTTTCGCGTGTTACATGGCGCATGCGCATTTCCCCTTTTGGCGCACTGCGAAATTCCTGTAGTTAGTGACGTCAAAATGACACACTGCCAGTCTGCAGTCCCGGCGAGAATCACGAATTATCCGATTTGCCAACTGTGTGGAAATCGAACCCGAAATTATTCGGGTTGAGTTATGAGGCGAAACTGCATGCGCGTGGTGGGTGGGTAGTGAGACTGCGTCGGTGCCGGACATGTGCCCGCCACCGTAAGCGGCTGCACACGGAACGCCCGGCTTTTTAATTAATTAATTTTTTTTGAATAATTAGATACAGTGTGGAAACAGGAAATCCCAGTAGAAATTCAACACGAGTACGAGCTCGGTCATCGTGGACAATCCTAATGACGTCATATAGATAGTTATACCAAATTAACGTTTTCTTGTGCTAATCAGACCAAAATGTGCGTCAGCCGAATTGCACTGTGGTTGAATTGCACTGACGGCCGCAAACCTTTGGCCGAAAAAACAAACCTTTGGCCGAAATGAACGTGGCCGAAATGAAAACAACCGAAGTTATCGGTAGCCAAGAAAGGCTCCAAAAGTAAGTATTCCTGAAAACGATTTCAAATGGCGTGACTTATTTGCTCGATCTCGGCTCGATTTCGATTCTTTCAACAACGCTTTCAACGATTTCGATCCTTTCAATTGTTGGACATCATGGTCCTCATGGTCCTGCCGACACATACTGCTATAAAGAACTAAATTCGCCAGTTCCTGGCACAGCATCAGATGTGTTTGGAAGTTAGCTGGAAACTTCGTAGCTGTTTACATCCGGTCATCAAAGCCAATCAATGTAAAGATAACCATTCGATATGTTAAAAAAATTGTCTAGATATACAGAATGCAAACGCTTTACGCGTATGCAAATTAATAAGTAGTACTAAAAGATAATTCAACATGACTGTAAGACAACACCGGCTTTTCCTCCTAACTTAAGAAGAAGCGAGTGATAAACTAAAAGACAGTTTTACTGCCTAGTTTCCAAAAACAAAATAACGCCGTTACACTCCAATTTTCAAACCGAATGCAAACTTCTGTTGCAAACCGATATTCTTCCCATTTAAACGAGACCTTCACTACATGGAGTGAGAAGGGCCAGTTTATCGGCATAGTCCAGGAGTAGTCGATATATTATCCATGGCAATGCCACCATGACCTTCGAAAATCCCGTGTCTACCTTCGAACGTTAGCGTGAAGTCTTTCATGGTATCCACTCCCACGGGCATTTGAACCATTTGCTGCTCCCACTGGCGCGTTTCCCGGCCCGGAAGTGCAAACATCTCCAGATTGGATATCAACCCACCGTTCCCACCGGTTATCATAAGATACAGGTCACCCGGATTACTGCCCTTCATATATGTCCAAAATTTCAGGCACAGTGCATCGTCCGGGCTTTGACGGATGAATTCCTTGGTAAGTATCGTTCCGCGCGCGGGAGTGGCACTCGTGTTGAAGTAGAGGAACAGTCCTGTGGAATTGATTGTGCTACTTTTGGTATTTCAAAAATCAGGCAGAATTAAAGAACCTTTACCGGAACCGGCCTGCGTCAAATCATCTACCGGGATCGCCAGATTAACATCAAATGCAGGGCTGGAAGCGGAGATCAGATTCCACTGGTAGTTTGGACGCAAACCATCCACTGGACCCCATCCACACGTATCACCATCGTCGAACGAGCATACGCTTACCACTAATTAACACAATCAATTAATAAACGCTGTTACTATATTAGCCTGTATATCACTATTATTATACGAAATGGTTACGCGCGAGAGCATCTCGCGCTGTGAGTTTTGGCTGCGCGCAAGAGTTTTCGGACCGAACGAAATTAAAAATAAAAAAGTACAAAGTATTTAGTACTCTGCAGTATATAGTATATGTCATGTCATGACAACCTGTAAATGCTTTAAAAGTCACCTTTGTACATGAAGGTAAGTATCATAAAGTACGAAAGTACCATAACATCGAACCGGCATTTCGTACACTGCGCTGACCGGCGTTTCTGTAATAATTAGCCACACAGTGACACGAGTAATTAAGATCAGCGACAAATTCGAATCATACGCTGCGGCTTTGCGCGCTATCGAGGAATGGAGTGAGTCCACGCATCAAGTCTTTATAAATCCCGGTGGCAATGCAAAGATTCAAAAACGCACCCACTGCACGACACCTTCCCGTACAGTTCCGTGAAACTGGTATGCAAGAAAGCCGGCATCTATCGTACCAACGGTGAGGCTCACTTCCGACGAAAAATACTATCACTATCATTATGAAGAGCGACTGTCAAGCAGCTATCCGCCCGAAGTTGGTCAACGGAATGTTGGAAGTCATCCATGTGCCGGCTGCAGAAGACCACAATTACGAGGTGTCGCAGGCGCTAGCACAGCATTGCCCTGAAAGGAGACGGCTTTTCGACACGGAGGAGAAGACCGTGGAGCAGCTGATCCCCAGTCGACGGCAGGTGATGTAATGCCTATAATCCGCCGGCGGGGAATGCCCACCGGCTTCCGAACGACTGCGGTGTGACTGACTTGATGCCAACTGACTGAAGCTACAATTATAATGCACTATAAACAACTCCAGAGCTGAAATTATGTCGAAATATATTAATTATATTCATAAATAGAGGCGCCGAAAAACTCTCGCGCGTAGCCAGAACCCATAGCGCGGGAGTATTCTCGCGTGTAGACATGACGATTATTATATTAGCCTGTATAAATTGTTTAACAACTGCTTTGATATATTAGCGCTTATGTTTATTGTTACGTATGTTAGGGTAGGTCGTTAGGTATGTTGATTGTAAATATTTTCCGATAAAAAATTTTGACTACCTAATTTCCCAGAAATTTTTCGTTTTCATGTGTTTCTTGAGAAGTGGGAAGCAGATAGTTTTTATACTCATTTAGTAAGTGTGTTCCTTTACCGGTGATATATAAAATTATTGGCCAAAACAGTATATTAGTATTACGGGCATTTCTCATTGGAATTTTAATGACTTTACCTACAGTATCGCGCGGTTGTTTAACAACGAAAGCACCGAAAACAGCGTTAAGTGTACCTGTAAAAGTGCATATTATTATTGGTTCAATAACAACATAATTATCTGTAAATATTATTTGTTGAAAATGAAGTCCCGGGAAAAATACCGAATAAATACAGAGCCACCAAAAAAATCCACATCTTCGGAGCTGTTGTAGGACTCGTATCAGTGGATTCAGTGCACGAATAAGTTCACGCCCGGCCAAGTTCTACTGTAGCAGCAGAGGTGGTGCGAGTTGATTTAGTGTAATGAAGACACAAACAAATGCGGCGAGCAAAACCAATAGGTACGGCAGTTACTAAATTACGGAATTTGCTTGTATGAGGACGCTGCATATGCTGCTCAGCTTAATGGCTGCCGTACAAATAATAGGCGTACATTGCTTCATTAAATATAAATACCGCGCATGTTAAAACTATTTGAATGCTTTATCGTTCTTACGCTTGTCAGATGATAGCATTCGAGCAAATCTATGGTCAAGGTTAACGTCGGCCTATCATATCTCTCCTAATGCCCGCAATTAATTGCAACAAAAGGCCGCTGACGACAGATTGATGGCTCCCGATAAAGCATAGTAAATAAGTTAACAGAGACGGTAGTTTGACGTCAATCTGCTAAAACGGTACAGATAGCACATGGCGCATTTTTATTTGAATAATTACAAAATCGATCAGAGCAGACGCCTCGTGAATAACCATTCGGCGTACAAAATAACCAGGTAATCCGTAATATTTAAATATGGTAAAAAGTGCAATTGCATTGACCAGACCACTTTCATTTGCCGAAAAAAGGAGCCCATCAAAACTTTCAGTTTCATGAGAATGCAAATCGTCAGCCGTAAAGACAAACCGACATTAGTCCGCTCTTTTCATCCAAGTGCAGCTATTCGCTTATAAAACTGAACGAATACTGTGCGACATTGCAAGTCAACGGACGCAGCACGAAACGAAACGCCCAATTCACCCGACTCCACCACGTTCACATTCTCGTCACCCACATTTAATTGACCCTTGGAACATGTGATTCTGGTGGCAAAGTTTGTGTGCCGGATTAACTGGCCGTGCGCAGCAGCCATAAATGCAAATCTCGCAAATGCTTTCGGCACAGATACGTGCTGTCGGTGATGAATACGGCTTCAACGGCGTCCGTAGTAAGAAGAAACAATAAGAATATTGTTTGCGCAACGTGAATTGTTATCGATCGTGGTTATCGTCGTTTGTCAATTGTCACTAGGATAAAATACGACAAAAATGCTTTGTGATGAAATTTAGATACTGTAAAACAATTTAAATGTTCAAATCTGGCGAATGAGCGTGACTGCACTAACTGGAGTACTTTTGTTTGCTCAGAAATCAAAAGTAAAAAAAAACGGTTCATTATACAGCGAATTAAGGAAGACTATAAATCATTAACGATCGTGGCATATGGGCATCATCTCTGTCATTTTTTAGCCAGCGCTGCCATTCGCTTCAAAAACTGAACGAAAACCGTGCGGCACTGCAGGTCGACGCTTGCAGCACGAAACACCAGTTCACCCGATTCCACGACGTCCGGATCCTCGTCACCCACACTGAACTGACCTTTCGAACATGTGATTCTGGTTGGCAAAGCTGGAGCACCGGATCGACCAGTTGCACCGGCCGTGCGCAGCAGCCAGAAATGCAGATCTCGTAAATGCTTCCGGCACAGGTACGTGCTGTCGGCAATGAATACGGCTTCCACGGCTTCGGTAGTCTGGAAATCCGTCTCATCCATGTCGATAAAACCCTTCTGGCAATGACAGTCTATCGGGGCCGGTTCGTTTGCAGGGACACAGGTTTCCGGTGCGCTTGTTGTCTTCTCATCTGGAGATGGCGTGGTCAACAGTTGCGGCACAGTGGTTAGTGTGTTTTCGGCGATGGAAGCAGGATATGTCCCCGAATCGGTCAGCACTGTGGGCAACGTAGAAATCAACTGTGAAGAACTTGTTGCTGAAAACGCATCAATAATAATCTTATTTGTAGGTTAGTGGTCGCAAAACATAACACGAACAATACTTATGAAAATTATCATGAATGTACAATGTACGACAAAAGAGGTTGAACCGATCAGTCGGTCTGCGGTTCAAAATAACCCATAGACTTAAGCATTGATTGCAAGCCAAACGGTTATTCGCACAGATCCTATGCTGTGCCTACGAGAAAGCAAACTGGCTAGAATTTCTGTTGTTCGCCATAAACAGCCACAGGTTTAGTATCAAAAAGTTTAAAATTTTTTTCTACACCTTTTGATATGCAACTAGTATAGCTGCACTTTGATATTCACGGAGCGCGAGCGTCTGAAAGTAGTGAGTAAGCGTCCAAGTTTTAGTGGTGGCGTGTCGTTGCGAGGTTATTTTGAACCGCGGACCGACTGATCGGTTCAACCTCTTTTTGTCGTACATTGTACAAGCGTTAAGCTTACATGTTTCGAAGCATGAATGCATGAATACTTCTGTGAATTATGACTTGAATTTACCATCGTTGGAGCATTCGCCGCGTCGAAGTTCATATTCATCAATGGCAACAGCAGCGAAATAAGGACTGCTGGCGCCGCGCGCGCGAGAGCGAGCTTGAAAAGCTATCTAAAAATTTGCAACCGTTTTAGTCATACTTTCGTTACAAGATCAGCGTGGTGCGCGCCTCACTTGGTATGATCCAGTTGTACGGAAAGAAATGACATTTTCCATCCACACGTCCGTTGCGTTGCCCCTATAACGCACGAGATCATTCCCGTTTCGTGTTACAATGATTTCCGCAACCTCGTCGGTTTCAAAATACATCCAAAAACGGATACAATAATCCACAGGCAGAGAATTATCCGCGACGAAAACCCATGGAGTCTTGATCGTTCCTTGACGGTCATCGTCAGCGTCCGCGCTTACATCCGCAAATAGAAAGAAGTCACTTTCTAAAAACATAAGAGTACGAGCATCAAAATAAACTATGGGGCGTAGTCCACTTTCGCAATAGCCGTTCTTATGGCAGCTGCTGCTGCGCGCGTTTCAGACCGGCGTCTCATATGTGCGCACAAATGGTGAACCATTGTGACGCACGATACATTTATCTTGCGACGAAATACTGCAGATATACCATATTTATGATCAACTATATTTAAATCTAATTTATGCAAGTTAAAGATCCACTGACGGGTGTTTTCTGTGCGGTATGGTACAATCCAGGCATCGTCCCCGTCTGTAAAGGTTTGGTGAGCTCGAATCCAGCGAATGACGGTGGAGAGCGAAACCGCCGATGCGACAGTCCAGCCACAAAAGTCGACATCGAAACTACAGGACTGCACAATGGGGTTCGAAAGAATGGTTATCGGGTTCGTCGTAGACGTTGCAGCAAGATGTGGAAGTTTGGGACATTTATCAGCACTGGACACCAAAGTGTGCTGAATGTTGTCAATGGCTATGCCATGCAGTCGGTCAGAGAGCGGCTGGTTTTGCTCATTCACGATTGCTTCCAGCAGCAACTGAAAGCAAATTAGCTGGTGATGCGGATGTTTGGTTACAGGTTTTTAGCACATCCGGTATGTCATCGTTATTTTGGTTATTCTGTACAAGAGAATCGTACTTACCGTCCATACTGCTCCGGTATCCAGATAGATTTGGCCTTTTTGCCAGGTGCCAAAATTGTTTTGTCCCAGGGAGCTCCACACCAACGTGTAGTTCCACTCATTAGCTGCATCAATCAAATTGTACAGCCACACGGTCAGATCCCCAACGTGTTCTTCAGTGATCAGGTAATCAAACTGCAGGCAAACACTACTTGGCTCATTCCCCTCAACGGGGTCATGACGCAAAATACTCCAGGTTCCAGACGGGGTGGCATCATGAACCGGTACGTAGAGGAAAACACCGCGATCGACGGAATCGTCAAGACTAGGGAGAGTAGCGGCCGTTCCGAATTCAAAGTCCAGCATTTGTGGGCCGGAAAAATCGTAATAGTTTTCCCAGCCACACATTCCATGCTCGAAGTCACAATCTATGTAATACTAATCTTTAATTGCAGCGTCTTTAAATCAAATACAATCTTTAATTGCATCTTTAAACTTATGTAATACAAAACTTCAACTGCATCTTTAAACTTTGGCGTCCAGCTTTAAATATTAATTTTAACAAAGAGGAAGACCGAGTGCTTATGTGTGCATCTCTTTACTGCAGTTTAATCCCAGTTTTTAACAAAGGACCGGCCGGCTACGTTAAATGCTCCTGTCCAGGTCAGGGCTTCCTCAAAATAAATTTTATATAAACATCATTCAGTATTTGGTCTTGAGATTCCAATACCTTCTCTTCGAAGTAACTATATGACACAATTTCACAATTTTTTTAGGTGTGGCACGGAAGTCCACATTTGGGCCTATAATAAAATTTTCAGTGTAAGCACTTACATATAACCGATGCACGTACCTAAATCGCTTTCTTCTAAATGTAGAGCCACCGACGCCGGGGCAACGCCATTCAGCATCACTGAAAAACGCACAAGCTACATGACCAATAATAATAATTTTGTTCGTAGGTGGTAAGGAACAAATGCCATACAGTAGTGCTGTATACATTTGCATACGATTTTTAAATTAACATTTCGAGAACCGAATTCCGGACAGGAGCACCCGCATACACATTTTGTTATTAAAATACATCGGATTCTGATTTACAGTTGCTAATTGTTATTATTGAACGATAACGTACTTAACAGAAACAATATACGAGGGTAAGACATTTTCAGGCGTAAGCTGTTTTGCCACTTTATGCGTGGGAAACTGGTTAAAGCGGCGGCTTGTACGAATTTCCCAAAGCATAAGTGCACAAATACGAACAAGTGTAAAATAGACACCAACCCAGCTCGGAATACATGTAGTTCGGTCAAAATTTTGAAATCGCTTCTAAACATATGCTGATCATGATATAAATAATGCACGTCGCTGCTGTTCGCTATACCGCGTAGTTACGGCTTCCCCGGAATTTATCGTCTCGGTTTTATCCATGTTGTTTCAATTGCTTTCCTCTGCAAAGAACAGCGGAGAATCATCTTTTGTAGTTCCGTATCTTTCACTTGTTTAAGCGGTATCAAGTTCTTATAGCAATCCTCCAGAATTATTTAGCAACGAGTTTAAGAAGTGCAATAGTTTAGATAAAACCATTGTACTTTCGAGATAATGACAACAATGTCTTCGGCAAACAGAATTTTCGTGCTCTTGTAGGCTAAGATTGTTCAGACTTAGGTTTTTTATGTGCAGTGTGTGATGCCTACAAGAATTCTTTGTTGTGTTTGATGAAGTGCAAGGCACAATAGTGTTAAAATATCATTGATCAATAAAAAGTAGTCATTAAGCATCACCGTACAGTACAGGGTGTTTTCGCGCGCTTGCCATTCGGGACCTGGCAGTGTTATACACGATCAGCTCATACAATGGTAACTACGCATATATATCGGTGACTGGCACGGGTGGTACTAATCAGTGTTACTGGTACCGGTAGTGGCACTATGTAATGGTACCGGTAGTGTTAGTAAAAGTGGTAATAGTTATTACTGGTAGTGGTACTGGTTGCGCTAGTGATATCGCCGCAATGGTACGTAATGGACCACTTATGAATCATTTTTATGTATTTATCATGTTATTGTTAAACGACGGCGTTACGTCGGATAAAAATTATATTATGACAGTCAGCTGTATCAGCGCGGAAGTAATCAAAGCACTCGGAAGATTGAAACCACTGCGCCTCTTTCGCTGTTATGGGAAACCGTCGGTGCCTTGAAATAATACTTGTTAAAGTAAATCGTTATTCGAATCATTTTGTACCAGCCTTGCGGTTCGGTATCCGTTAAGATGTCATATTGTGTTACTGGCGTAAGTATCACAAGCGTGACCATCACCCGTACCAGTTGCTTTACGTGATACCCCTAACCAGGGCCGTCGCGAGGTCCGAGGGTAGGGGGGCGAGCCAGCGCCCCCCCCCCCCTCGTGACGGCCCTGCCCCTAATACTGCCAGTACCAGTAGCATTACATAGTATTACTGCCAGTACCAGTAACGTTAATTAGTACAACCCGATTGGCACTCATTGTATGTACAGAGGGTGATTTCGCAATATGCTTCCAGCACGGACACAAAGTTGCAGTAATTCTCTCCCTTGTTCTTTCCTTCAATTTTTGTCGCTTAAAAATACTTCAATATGTGCTTTATAATTCATCATTATTTGAATTCGAAAAAAGAAGTAAATGGCACTCAAAAGTGATTTTAAAGCGGAACGCCCAGTTTCCCAAAGTGGAACAGATTTTTGACGAGGAAATCTTTTTGCCAGTTTCCTTATTTTCTGAAATTTGACACAGACCGTCGCAATCGGTGAGGCGCAGATGTAGCTTCTTTATTCGGACGGGAGATACGAAATTCCATGCTGCCACTTTTAAATATCGTAATAACAAAAAATCAAAATTTGGTAAAAAACGGAAACAAATGATGTTTGTTTTCCGAAACTATTTACCGGGACAACAATGCAGCGCATGTAATCCCTCCCAGTGTTAAAACCACCGTAGATGTCTATACCAAAAAGTCGCTTAAAAAACTTCTCAGGAAAAACAATCTGGATTTGCAGCCCGGGGAGGAACGCAAGGGGAACAGTCAAAATGGCTATCTTCCAGTTCATGAAACTATCAGGACGTACCAGTGCCTAGAATCTCACGAAGCCAGATGTTTTCTGAAGGCCACATGATGTGACAGTTCACTAAAACCGGCACCCATAGATTATGAATTGATGACGATTTTTTAGCTAATTTTTAACGGAAAGCATTGGAAAACGTTTTACGAATTGTTACAGTGTTGCGCACAGACCCTTGTCGGTTTGCAAAATCCCACCGTATTCTAAATTGTTTTCTGTTTCTTAAAGTTAATTTGTTATGATCGCTAAAAGAAAGGGCTTTCAAACTTAACGGCTCTAAGAATAAAATATGCACGGAGAGGACGGCAATAAATTCATAAAGAAAGTGGAAGCATATTGCAAAATCACCCTCTGTACAAGTACCTATGTACCAGTACTATGGATTATTATGGCTGCATGCGTTGACTTAATAGCTGGACAACATTTTCTTATGTTAATACAGGGTACACTACTCCAACAGTAATACAGTTCAAACAGTTAACGCAGCACAGTAAATAAACAAATATCAATACGCAAACCACGAGGACATCGCTAATAATATCTGATTCGGCTATTTATTTTTAAGCCACTTCATACAAGGTCACGCTGCACCAAGGTCAGTGCTGCACCGCTGTAATTGTACTCTTTTTGCTGCAGAATAAACTACTGTTCTAAATAATTACCTAGAAGCCAATAAACCTTCATCCTTAATATTCTTTGACAGTGAATTCGGAACAACTGAGATATCTATATTTGAAGAGGAAAGCCAGCTTTTGATATGCGCTAACTGTGCGCTTGTTATTCTTGGTAACCACCAAATTTGTGAGTCACAAAAGTAGTTTGAATCGTCACAACGGTGGAGGCCTTTGATACTGAAAGCGAAAAATTAATTATAACATCACTTACATCAGTAACAACTTCTAGAACGGAATTACAAAAGCAGTTCTTCCCAATTCTTCCCGATTACAGAAGCAGTTGCAGTTGAAGCATTACTGTAAACTTCCCTAGTTTATTCATGTCTTCGCAGATAAAAGTTCGGTTTAATTGAGGCGGCGTTCTTGCACTTTATCACGCTGCCAATGCTGTCCTACATTTCAGAATTTAGGTTCCTGCGTATGTAATTACCTATCTGTATGAAAAAGTGTCTTGTTACATTCTCAAAGACATACCGCGTTTCCGCGGAAGTTGACATTCTGCGAAACCAACAGCGTCATAAAACCAGAGTCAATTATCGCTTCTCGTGTTATCCTTGCTGAATACATCAAATTTTCTAACACGTTTCCGTTTGAAGATGACAGCCGCAGCAGTTTAGGATTTCCCCAGAGCGAAGGCCTATAACTACGCTGTCTCAAACATGTACACCAACATCTCGGCACTGAAATTAATTTTACCATGGTGCTGCCTTCTTAAATTACCTTCAGTCATTTAGAAGATACCGTAAATAGTAATTATTCGACCTATGTTCCCTGTAAAAGGTCGCTTCCTCAACAGCCGAACAGACCCAGAGAAGAAGAGACTGCATATCCTTTACGCCACTGGAAAGGAGGCAAATCCTTTTTTCCCAATTCGCAATCTTGCATAGGTGTTAGTGAGTTGTACGATTCTGCAAGAAAAATCTTTGCCGGACCACTGAAGAAAGAGATTTATTCGTCCTTCATGCAACAGAGATGTCCGATAATCGATCGTTGGATTTTTCAACAGTCGGAGTAAATTCCACCCTGATTACGGCAAATACAAGCGAAAACTCTCTTTCTATCGGTTTGCTCAGCTCCTCAATCGTGGCGCTACTGTGTAACTCAGGAGTGCTAGCTATTCTGGTTCATGGAAGACGACAACAAACACCTTTTGATGTGTACATCATGGCCCTGTTATTGAATAATATTATCTACGTCGGCATAGCCAATCCCCTACGAATCGTCACCCTGTCAGACACTTCATGGTGGAGTGGACGCGCAACATGCTCGATTACCCTATATTTCAATTATGCCGTCACAGCCTTTACGGTACACATTCATCTGCTTGTCAGTGTCGTTCGCGGATGGGCACTGTTTTGGCCGCTATCATATAGAGCGCGCCACACTTCCGCCCTCGCCTGGCTGTTGTGTTTGTGCATGGTCATTTATTTGCATATTGTACTGCTGCCTGGTGTAATTATGGATGCCATTTATTACCGAATTCCAGCTAATAAAGGGTGCTTGCTGAATTCTACAGCGCAGCCTACCTGGTACATGTTTATGACCGTTGGTGTCTATGATGTACCCAAGCTGATGATTCTCGCATGTTATCCTGTATTCTTATGGAAGGCGATACGCCGGAAAACAGTATCCGTTGCTCGAACAGGTGCAGCCAGTAAGACCGGAAGCAGCGGGAGGCAGCCGACAGCCCCATCCCTCCCCCAACCGCAAGAACGTTCGCGACCGTTTCTGTTGCTGACGTTGCTGACCTTGTGCGCAGCAGTCTGTTGGATTCCGAGCATGGTTTACTTTAAATTACTGGGTTTCATACCGCCAGCAAGACTAATATCGTTTCGAATTATGGCAAATACTTTCTTGAGTCTGCAGGCGTTGCTGGATCCGATATTGCTTTGTATAAGTTTTCGCAACCTGAGCAGCTATTTAGTTGTGTTGTGGAGAAGTTGTAATGAGCGGTTAAGAATGGTCGCAAACTAACAGCCGATGGGATGATCATCAACAGGACTAGAAAATGTCGCACCACTGCTAGATTATATCATTCTTGGCTTGATAAAACTGCGCTCATTTTCTGTGTCACTACACTTAGGACGAAGGCTTTGTCGAAAAAACTTTCGCGCATATCATGCTTTTACCGGGCACCAAATCGATGCCGTGAAGCTTTCGATCGGTAGTCACGGGATTTGTGCCCTTCCTAGTAAAAGCAACCTTCGTCGTCATAGCTTTTTGTACAGCTGAATTAGATAGAAAACAGGAAACAGCAAATTAAGTTGAAAATCTACCGAAAAATTAGCGTTGCCCATGTACCGTACTGTCGTGTCAAATTTCTCCTGCCGGATTCTGTAAATATGAACTTCTCAACATGCCGCCAGTAAAACTACAGACCTTCCGGAAAATCCAGAGCATGTTGATTGAATTTCAAGGGCTGATTTTTGTGTGCTTGAGCATCATTAAAGTGTACCGTTACATATTAACTTGTTGGCCGAAACTTTTTGGTTTGCTGGTTTTATTGTTGAGTGTCATCAACCATCTTACCAGTCACACTGCCCTATGTTTGCTGTTTTAATTTACACCCTAGCGTAAAAAAGATTATCAGCCTAGCGTAAACAAGATTTAAAATG